CTGGTTTCTAACAGTTGATGGATATCAATGAGAGTCCTGTTTATGTTCTTCTCAATCCTTCAATTAATCCTGCACAGAAAGATCTGCCTGTCACAATATATGAAAGTGGTACGTACTTGTTCATCTGATGTCCCTAGATTATCTGAAAGGCTGCTCTGACATTGGTCTCACCTATTTATTATGATGATTGTCGCATTGCAATTTTATGCACCAACTGAACTTAGGTCAAAGCGTCTTTATAAGATATCGATTTGCAGTCTATCTATACTTTTGACCATGTTGTTCGTGTGTAGTGTTTTACATAATAGTCTATATCATTAGTTCTTTGTTTATTTTTTGCCTGAAAAGGCACCCTTACTATGTTATGATTTGATAATGCCAAGCACCGAGCTCCCTGGAACTTGCAGTTGCTTTTGATATCAATATATATTGTTGTAAGAAGCTAAGAGCAAAAATTTGGATGTTCAGCTTGTGAGCATGTCAACTGCCCTGATGTACTTTAGAATTTACTTTTGTTACCATATCAATACAGATGATGTATTATTAAGCTGATGTGACAAATTAGCAAATTTCAGTTGTCTGATTCAGTAGTGAAGTTACGAACCATGTTGTATTTATTTAGTGGTTGGCAGTTGAAGAATTGCTACTGATTATTTTACTTATTTTACCGTATGGTAATGTAAATCTTGAGTTGCATTCAAAATTGTTATTCTACTGTTATTGATTAACAAAATTAATCGGTTCTCTTCTGTGTGCTCTTTTGTGACCAATCATAATTATCCAGAGTTGCATGTTATTGATGGCATCCCTCAGCTTATATTTGTTCGATCAAGTTATACTATAGAGGTATTTATTGTTTCTCAATTTTAAACATAATTAATACTTTAGGTGAGACAGAATATACGAGCACTTTTAATTTATCTGTTTCATCTTACTTGATTGGTAGACAGTGGAAGCTGAAAGAATATCTGTTGATCATGTCGCCCATCTTAAGCCATCTGATGGTGGTTCGGCTGCAACTCAATGTGAGCCTTTGCATTTTGACAACTTTTATGTGATAAAAGCTCCACTCACAGCATGAACTCCTACTTCTTCCATTGTTGATCATATATTGATGACTAATCACTATCCTTTACTTTTAGTGGCTGCTCACCTTACTGGCATACATAGTGCAATCAAGATGCTGAATGGTAGGATCAAGGTTCTTCATCACTATCTTCTTGCCATGCAAAAAGGTATATCTCTATATTTTTTGTTATCTTTTCTTTTTTATGGGCTAAACATTGAAGTAAATGAATAATGTATTTGTCTTCTCTTCTATTGAGGAGGAGCTCCAGAAAATCTATTAGGCGATTCAAAATGTGGTTCAATTTGTTGTTTCCATTATAAAGATGACCTCTGGATGAAGTGTCAGCTGTTGTATAATTAGTGTGTGCATATGTTTGCTGTTATTTATAGGGGAAATTCCGAGTGACAATTCGTTGCTGAGGCAAGTATCTAGTCTCCTGAGAAGATTACCAGCCATCGAATCTGACAAATTTCAAGATGATTTCTTGATGGTGAGTGCTTTTTGACTGTTTTGGCTTTTGTTCCGGTTAAATTTTGTCAGTATCAATGTATCATGTACTCTTAGTTTCTTGTATTGCTACGAGAAAAGTCATGTTGAATTACATTTCCATTTGAGTTGTTTTTATGTATCTCCTGCAATGGCTTAAAGTACGTTTAATTTTTTAGGACTGCTTTCTTTAATCCCAATTCTTATGCTTTGCAGGAATACAATGATACACTGTTGATAACTTATCTGGCAATGTTCACCAACTGTTCAAGGTATGGCTGTTTCTGCAGACCGCCTTTGTTAATAAAGGTTTTCATTATGAAATGCTATAGGGGTTGTTCAGAAACTCTAGAGCAGTTATTCTTAGTGTGTAGGTGGAAGGAACAAGCTGAGTTATCCACGTAGAGTATCTGCGTGTTTTTTTTTTCCCCTTTATGCCCAAACGTGTGTGTTTATTTTTTATATTCCACCCATTTACTGCATTTTCGATCAGCCTAATTGTGTGTTTGCTCAATGTTTTCTTTTGCCCCAGCCTGTCTTATGCCTGTTTGGAGAAGGTTCTCAAGTGGCAAGAAATGTGTTGACGTAGTTTTATTTGTTCATGACATAATGTTTTTTATGTTTACACCATCATCATCTCTTACATTTCAAAATACTCAGATTCTTCATAGGCTTTATCCTGCATGATCTAAGTTAGTCCCAGTGAAGCTAACATATTTTCTCCCCAGCTGTAATTACTTGCACTCAGTTCAGTACCAGTATTACTAGGCACTCCAAGGAATTCATGGTAGTTATCATAGATCGATTTAGGTTTAGTTGTTAATAGACTAATATATGCTGTTACTTGAAGCATCTGACATACTTATTGAACAGCACGATGAACGAGCTGGTCGACAAATTCAATACTGCTTACGACAGGCATAGTCGAAGGGGTGGCCGCACCTCCTTTATCTGAGATGTTTTGCTCATTTTTCTCTCTTGTGTGTTGCTGAATTTTCCCCCGAGGAAGGCCACTTGTGTTACATCTGGGAATTGTTCTTTGAACAGACCCGAATAGTTGTGAGCAGTATAAATAGTTTTGAGAAGGTGTTACCGTTGAGAGGTAAAGTATATCACTTTGCGTAGCACGTGCTGAATTCTGGTGAGCAGGTCAAAAGCCATTTCAAATTGGTGTGTTGTATGACAGTGCATCAATTTGTGCTGTGGATTCCTGTTGGTGTTGGTGCTACTACCTTCTCCAGAAAAAGCGTACTTTCTTTTGACTTTTGAGGTTGATGTTTGTTTTCCCAATTTGGGTATGCATTTTGAGTTTAAAATGTTCTTGATTGGCTTTGAATTTACATGTTATAGCTGAATTGTCAAGTAGACTCATAATCTGCCGATTGTATGGTGGTCTTCATAGTTTGTGATATTTGGACAGAACAACAAATGAATTTTTGACTCTAAAAGAAGAAATGTATCCATTTAGGGCATGTTCCTAGTTTTGTTAACCTTGACTGAAGCCCGAAAGATAAATTTCGGCCAGAGATAAAATGCAGTCAATCTTGAATATGGCAAGGGTATGACCTTTTTCATTCCCATAGTTTAATTATCAAAAGATGTCCAAATTGGCCCCTTTTTCCATCATTATTTACATCCTTCTTCAACTTGTCATAACTCATTTTTCCTTTTTATTCTTAACACACACCCTCAAGCCTCAACACGGTCTCAATTTTTACTTAAATTTTCCATTTCTTTCTTTCTTTATTTTTTTTTTTTTTTTGTCAAC